CTTCTTGTTAGTAGTATTATTATTATTATTCGTCTTATTATTCTTTTTGTGGATGCCCTCGGGAGTATCAGTGCCGTGCCCGCGATGCTGCACTACGGCACGCCATGCAATCGCAATCTGCGCGCTACCGTACTCAACAACAACAGTTCTTGGTAAATCACGTGCAGGCGTGCGGCCGTGTTTCGGGGGCGGAAATGGAAACCCATGTTTGGGGCTCCCCACTTCCTCCTGCCGCCTCCTCTTCCTTCCTCTTTCCTCCTGCCTCCTCCTCCTCCTCCTCCTCCTCCTCCTCCTCGTTTTCCTCCTCCTCCTCCTCCTTATTTCTCCTCCCCCTTCTTTCCCTCTTCCTTCGCATTCTCCCTCCTCCTCTCCTCCTCCTCCTCCCCCCCCTCCTACTGAACAGAATCCCCGTGCGGAGAAGAATCAAGCAAAACATTGGTAAAAGCAGAAAAAAAAAAACAAAAAAAAAAAAAAAAAAAACCTGGGGGACTCCCCCCCTCCACCCCACCCCCCAGGAAGTTCCCGAGGATTGCTTTTATTGTTTTGTTTGTTGTTTGTGTTGTTTTCCTACGGTTTTGCTTGGTTCCGCCTTCGATAGGGGAATCGGATTGGGAGGAGGAAGAGGAGGAGGAGGAGGAGGAGGAGGAGGAGGAGGAGGAGGAGGAGGAGGAGGAGGAGGAGGAGGAGGAGGAGGAGTGGGAGAAGGAGGAAGAGGAAGAGGGAGGCGGACGAGGAGGGATGCACTCACGTCCTTCCTTATGCTACAAAGGGAGGAGGTGACAGAGAGGCTTTCTGGATAAAATCTGAAAATCGCGGGAGTCCGAAACCGAACTGGAACCTGAGGTGGAATACGCCATTTCGTTTTTCTTAAAAACGCAGGGGGGCCCAAACGATCCTCGAACCAGAAATGTTCTTGCATCCTTCCTACAAACTTCCTCCGGAGAGCGTTTTGGAAGAACCTTCCTCAAAAAGGCTCGTGTTGGAAGAACCCTCCTAAAAACCGTCCTAAAACTTTCCTCTGGGAAGCTTTTTGGAAGAATCCGTATAAATTCTGCCTAAAACCTACCTCAAGAGGGCTTTCTGGAAGAACCTTCCTAAAAACCTTCCTAAACCTTCCTCGAGAAGGTTTAACGGAGGGTTGGCCGAACTGCCGCACACAACTGCCACAAAGGGTGCCTGGCGAGCCGGGTTCATTTGCCACCGCGAAAATCTCCCCCACGGGCCCGCATGCCGCCCTCCGAGAACCCCAGCACACACACACACATGCATACGTACACAAACAAACACACAATGTTTCGTCGGCGGCTGGTCGGTGTCAACGCTGCGAGTACTAAGGCGGGCCACGTCTAGTTCAATTACCACCTGGCGTTGCAGAGACACACACACACACACACACCTCAGGTGGGTCGTGCCCCATGGGGGCCCGAATTCCAGCCATCCCACGGCGCGTTGGGGCACGAGGACAGGGCCATACCCTGTGGGCTGGGCGCTTCGCTGGGCGCTAAGCTGATTCCAGCTGATTTCAGGATGACCTCGCATCACGGGTCGCGCCTCGCCGTGCGCGACGCGCGCTTATCTTCGCGACTCCGCGCCGCCTCCCTGGGGAGGGGCATCTTTGCGACCTCGTGTCGTGGCGACTTCTGCGCTGGTGTTCCTGACGCATCGCGGATCGTTCACCGATCGCGGCTTTCCGATGCCGCAGATCACTCGACGTCGGCCGACTCTGGGCCACCAGCGGTGTGCAACCTTGAACGCCCGCGCTGGGGTCGCCGCGGCGTCGGCATCACACGGACCTGTCGCGAGTTGGCTTTACCTGGCACCTCCAAGACCTCCCCGCAGGCCGTTCGCCCCTGATTGCCCGCCCCCTGCCGCCACACACACCCCCCTTGCGCGCCCACGCACAGCGCTCGCGGAATCGAGCATCGCCCTGGGACGCCGCCGCGACGGCCCACGACGGCCTCCAAGTTGACTCAGGGTGCTGGCGCCACGATGATGGGTCCTCGGTAGACGCGGACGTGGGCCGGTGCAGGAGGAAGACAGCGCCTTCCAGGCCGCCTTCCCTGCACCGTCCCGCGCGAGAGCGGCGCTTGGCCCCCCACGTTCCTGCCACCTTCCTGCGCGCCGCTGGAGTACCTGTTGCTGGGTACCCGCTTCGGTGGCGCTGGAGGTGCATCCCGATCAGGGCACCGTGAACGGGGACTTTGATAAAACCAGGACGTTGGCGCGCCGAGAAAACTGCAGCTGCGGGTCGAAGCGTTCCCCATCCTTCATTTTCCCGGGCCAGATCTGGCAAAGTCCTGGTTTGCGAAGTCCTCGCCTCTGGAAACCTGATCCAAACTGATCACGGCTGCCCCGGATGGCCACCAACACGTCCTGAGATAACTACCAGGATTCCCCAAGAGGGCCCCCTAGAGGACCCCCGAGAGGCCTCTAAGAGGCAGAGCTCATTGAAAAGCCTCTGGCTTGTCTCCTATTATTGCATACTCGAATTTTCGGGCGACAGACCGCCCAAGGCGGCCCAAAAGACCCCCAAGATCATCGCCCCAAGAAGATCCAGACTGGAAGGCCCATGAATACCAAGAAGAGCCCCAAGACGACCCAAGAAGGACACAAGACGCCTCAGGAGGCCTCCAAGACGCTCGGGGGGGGGACAAGAGAGCCCCAAGACGGACCAGGGCCCTAAAAGGGTCCGAAGCTGGCTACAAGGCACGCCGCAGACGGCGCAAGAGCGTCATACACTGGCCCAAGGGGTCCACAAGACGGCCCAAGAGGGTACCAACAAGCCCCCAAGAATGCCCGAGAGGGTCCGAAAAGGAGCCCCGAAAGAGCCCCAAGACTTCCATCTTCTCTGGACACAAATGTTCTCCCGATCGTCTCCGCAACACTTACAGGGACCGGAATCCAGACGGCTCTCAGAAGTAACTCTTCGACCAGCAACAAGGGTAAGGGAGGGGGCTTAAAGTACCCCACTTGGATCGGCCCAGAAGGGCCTCGAAAGCCCCCTCGAGGGCCCCAAGAGAGCCGCCAGGGTCATCAATAACGCCCAAGAGGGCCCTAGGATTATATCGCCCGACGTCCGCTACACACTGTAGAAGCGCCAAACCGCCGAAAGTACTCTAAAAATACTAAAAAAAAGTACATGTCGGATATCAACGTTCGAATACTCGAAAATCATTCAAAAAACATCAGTCGTATACGATAACTTCCATATGCGCGGCACCTGCGGTCACGTCTAAAGCACACTGCCCCCGCCGAAAGACATTGCATGAGCCTGGGCACGCAAACGCATGAGAGGGGGAAGGGGGGCCCCTGGCGGGGGCGCGCGAAGGGAAGCAGGAGCAAGGGGAGGGGGCGGGCAGGTCGAACGAGAAGGAAGGCCGAGGGGGGGGGCACAAGAGAGGCGGACTTCTGCAGGACAAGAAAGAGGATGCTGACGCTCCTCCTCCTCCGCCTCCTCCTCCTTCTTGCCCATGTCCTCCTCCCCCTCCTCCCCAATCCTCCTCCTCTCCACTATCCTCCTCCCACCGCGCCTCTTCCAACGTGCCGCCCGCCCTCTCCAAGGGCGCCCGTGCCCCTATCCCCCTCCGTCGTTCTGATTTCCATCCCTGGCGTTTGCCCTCCCTATCCCCCCTCCTCCGCCCCCCTCCGCCCCCCGCCCCCCCTCGCGCGGCGGCGGTGCACGCGGGTCCTGGCACTTGTCGAGGAGGCGGCGGCGGGGGCGGCGGGCGCGCGCGCGCGTGCCCCCCCGCCCCGCCGCCGCCTCCTCCTCCTTATCCTTATGCTCATCCTGTCGCCTAGAGTAGTGTAGAGTAGAGTAGGGTAGAGTAGGGTGGGGTAGAGCAGGGCAGAGTAGTGCAGAGTCGTGTAGGTAGGGTAGAGAAGGGAAGGGCAATATCGGGTAGAGCAGTGTCGGGTAAAATAGTGTAGGGTAGAGTAGGGTCGGGTAAAGTAGTGTAGGGTAGAGTAGTGTAGAGTAGGGTAGAGTAGGGTACGGTAGAATAGTGCAGGGTAGAGTAGGGTAGGGTAGGGTAGGGTAGGGTAGAGTAGGGTAGGGTAAAGTAGGGCAGGGTAGAGTAGGGTAGGGTAGAATAGGGCAGAGTAGGTAGAGTAAGGTGGAGTAGGCTAGGGTAGCGCATGGTAGAATCGGGTAGGGTAGAGTAGGGCAGGGCAGAGTAGAGCTCAATAGGGTAGGGTAGAGCCCAGTAGGGTAGGGTAGAGTAGAGCCGAGTAGAGTAGGGAGGAGGGTTCGCTCTGTCTCCTGCTGCGGCCTCAATCCTCGCCCTCATCATCCCTGTCCTGCTTCTCCTTCTCCTCCTCCTCCCCCGCATCCTCCTCCTCCTCCTCATCATCATCCACCCCGTGCTCTAGTTGGGTCGGGTGGGGTATAGTAAGAGGATCGGGCAGGATAGGGCAGGGCGCAGGGGCAACAAGTTTCCCCCTCGGGCAGCCCGCGCGCAGCTGGAGCGGCGGGTCTGCGCGACTGCTTCGCGCTCGCGAGCCCGTCCTCGCGAGCGCACCCGAACCCTGCTGATGCACTCACTGGTCTCACGCCGCAGCCGACCGCCTCCCGCCACCTACCTACTTCATCTTCAACGCATCGACGTAGCGGGCCGTCAACGGTGGCGGGAGGTCGGACGGCTGCACCTCGGCCTTGCGCAGCTTGCCCTGGACGGCGGTCATCCTGCTGCGCAGCTGCACCTTGTTATTGACAAGTTCCTTGTTGTCGAAAGCATCGCAGAGCTCCGCGCCGATTACGATTGCCTTCACCGCTTTCATCGTCTTCTCGACGTCGGCCACCCCCTTCGCATCGAGCTTCACTCTGAAATCGCCTGCTTTAACAAGCAGCTCACCCTTACACGCCTCGATGTTGGCCGCCTCGTCCCACCAACAGCTCGGGTTGGCGTCGTTGAGGCCCTCATTGTAGATCTCCAGAACTTCGGCCAAGGTCGTGGCAGCGCTGGCCTTATCGTCGTACTCCTTGTAACCCTTCGTCGCTGACATGCCGTCGAAGAGCTTCGTCATCTTCTCGACCAGCGCCACCCTGATATTCTCCAATATGCCCGAACCGACACTGGCGGTCAGCTCCTTGGCAGCACTCATCCTCTCGAAAACCACGACGCTCGCGTCGTTGCACAGCTCGTCGAGCAAGGGGGCCTTCATGTTCTGCTTCTGCTTCTGGATGGCCCTGACGAGCTCCTTCGCCAGGCGCTCCAAGGTCGCCGAGTCCTGAGGCGTGCCCTCCACAGGGGGGTCCGTTGCGTTCGCGAGGCTCTGATACGCGACCATGGCCCTCCACGTAGCGCTCACCATGTGCGAAACCTTGGCGCACGAGTCGGCGTGGGCGGCAGGCACGTGGGGGGCGAGCGTCTCCATGGTGTCGTAGAAGGACCCGTCTGAATGCTGCAAAAAGCCGGCCTGGTTGTCTTCGATCGAACCCCTGACGACGCTCTGGAATAACGTGTAGCACGGCTCGCGGACGTCATCTGGCAGCTCCTTGGCACGACAATCGTGAAGCGCATCGCGGAGGCGACGCGTCTTCTCAGGGTTAGGGGCCCACTCGGAAAACGCCGACATGACGAGGTCGTGCTTGGACGCCAAGTCCATGTCCAAGAGCTTGGCGTGGATACCCTGCGCTGCCTTCTCAACCCCCTCGTTCGCTGGGAAGAGGAGCGACATTTCCTTGAAGAGATCCTTGAACACGTGCAGGACAGCAGCTGGCTTCTCCTGGCTATCCTGAGGGGCGCCTACCGCGAACGTCGAGCATTCCGATGTTATCAGCACGTCGCAAGCCTTGACCGCCTTCTCGAGCAGCGCGCACCTGACGTCGTCGGACACGCCCTCGTAGATCCTCGCCTCCCAGTAGGGGATCTCCTTCGCAACACTCAGCATGAACTCATCATTCGCCTTGGTGGGCGGCGCGCTCACCGTGAGCGCGATCAGCCTCGCGTGCGCGGACTGCAAGTGTCCCCCATGCTCCTTGATGGCCTTGGAATGGTCGTTGGCCCAGTCGATCTCCTTCTGCCAGAACTCACCGCTGCTCGTCAACATCGCCTGGCCCACGATCCTCATGACGCTCTGGTTACCCGTGGTGCGCGCCGCCTCGGCCTTGATGAAATCGAGCTGGTCGAAGAGATCCAAGCTGGTGTCCTGCGCCAGCGTGTTCGATCGCAGCGCCTGCACCGCGCGAGCCACCGTGGTTGCCTGGAGAAGGCTCTCCGCAGCATCATCTGCCAGGACAGCGTCTTCTGGGAGGAGGTCCCAAAACTTCAAGGCGTCATCAACGAAGATCGCCACGTCCTGAACTGCGGCGTCACCTGCACCGAGCACTTCGCTGAGGGCGCGGTTGAACACCCAGTCCTGGAAAAGTTCGACGACGTCGCTAGTATCAGAGCACGCCTAGATCAGCGTCACGCAGCAGGGGTCGATGTTGGCCTTGGAGCGATCCCCAGGGGTCCCCCATGGAGCGGTCGCCTGGAAGAACTTCTGGAAGTGGGCCCTCTTCGTAGACTCGCTGCTCTCCGCGTCCGAGATAGTCGTCCAAAGCATGTCAACGCTCCTCTTGGCAAGCCCCCTCAAGGCGATGGGCGTGAGCGTTGCGCCAGCCTTCTTCAGATCAGCCCAGTCCTTCCTAAGGTCCTCGTCTGTCTCCGACTTGCACGTGGAGGGGGCGAACTTCTTCGCCTTCGTGTACAACTCCATGTGGATCGCCAAGTTCTTGCGCTCGCCCCCCGAGAGCTTGCCATGCAGAATCTTCGCCTGGTTTTCCGCGCGCCCATTCTTGGACTCGTTGAAGGCCCGCTCGAACCTCAGCTCGACCACCCAGTAGTCGACTGTCCCGCAGATGTGCGGGTTGAGCACGTCGTCATCCGCAGTAAGCTTCGTGGCCTTTGCGCCCCTGAGCTGCATGGACGGCGTCGGGGACGCAGACGGGAACCGCTTGGCGGGGGTGCCCTTGGCGGACCCTGCCCCACCCTCAAGGCGCGGCGCGGGGGTGCGCTCGGGATCATCGTCACTGCCACCGACTACCCCCACCGTCTCGCTCGAGGCTCCACCAGTCCTCCACCTGCCAGCGCTGTCACCGCCAGCCTCTTCACCTTCCTCATCCCCATCGCCATCCAGGGCCTCGTCATCCACCAGGCCCGACTTTGCCTTGCCGTAGCGCCTCTTCGCCTTCTCGTTCAGCGCGTCGCGGCGCTCCTTGATAGCAGCGAAGATCGGGATGTTGGACATGGCGCCGAAGTTGAGAGTGAACTGGCTGTCATCCTCAGCAGCGCTGTTGGAGCTGCCCTGGCCGCCAATCGCCCCGAGCAGCAACTCCGCCTGCCCATCAAACAACTGCTTCGCCCCGCCTTTGCAACTTTTCAGCTGCGACCCCACGCTGCTCTTATGGAAGATCTTCAACGTCGGGTACTTGAGCTTCCTCTAAGGGGGTCGGCATAAAAGGAAAGACGATCACGCAATTCGGCCTCTGGGTAATCTGGACGCCCCTGATGTTCAGCGTCTTGGGGGACTTGCCGAACTCCTTGATGACGTCGCTGGAGGTCAGCGCGCACACCTTCACGTAGAGCTCGTGCCCGAAGGACATGGACTCCAGAAGGCGCAGGCCCATCGAGCCCTGTGGCGGATCCTTCGCCACCGTCATCGGCACGCTGCCGCCGTCGAACAGGGAGTCCATCGTGCCATTGTTCATGGCCTCCACCACCGCCTTGAACATCATCCCAGGAAGCTCCAGGAAGACAAATTCGACGCACTGCTCGCACCCAGTGTCACCGTCGACGAGGATTGCGTCCATGTCGCAGTTGTCGCCACTGACCTTGTAGATATTGATGCCGTTCTGAAGGCAGGGCTGGAAAAAAACATCGTCGGCTCGGGGTGCTCGCAGGGCCCACTGGGAGGCAATGGGGCACCTGGGGGGGGGGGGGCTGGGAGCTCCTGGGAACCCTCGGTGGCACGCCCTGCGAACTCCTGGGAGCCCTCGAGGCGAGCTCCTGGGAGCCCTTCCAGCTTCCTCGGACCCCCAGCGAGCCCCTGGGACTTGTCCCAAGGGGTAGCCCTGGGGGGCGCTTCGCAATACTTTTTAGATATACCCCGAGGGTCCCGATCGGTCTTGTTGCACATGTCGCAGCACGCGGCGGCCGCTGCCCTCCTCCCGCTGGTGTTCACCTCCTTCTCCTTCGGCGGGCGACCGCCACGACCGCCACGACCTCCAGTGCTGTTCGTCCGCCTCTGCCCTCGGGCAGCGGCTCCTCTGCCGCCCGTGCAGAGGTAAGGGGCGCGGATGCCCACAACGTGGGAGAAACGGACCCCTTTGGGATGGCGCTTGACCAGTGAGAGACGGCTGCGGAGGGCCAGGAGGGTAGTGAGAAGGGCAGGGCAGGAGGGTTTCTCGGGGCTCCCAGGGCAACCCTGGGCGCGCCCCAACTTCTCTCGGCTCGCGCCCAAACCCAGGTGGCGCAGGGGAGGGCGAGGGGCCGCGCTGGCGGCCAGGACGATTGCATTGTTCATGCTCGAATGGCATCCACGCGCACGAGCATCTCTCACGGCCTCGCAAGCGCAGCGCGCAACAAGAAACAACACCTCGCACCTGGCCCACTGAACTGGCGAGATACAGCCTATGACGGCCGTCAACGCAATGCAATGCAACCATCTCGCCGAGACCCCGCGACCCCCACACCAGACATCCGACCGCCAACTGAGGTGCACCGATGCGCGCCCGACGTGATGATATGTCAAGCGCGCGCGGGCCCCTTTGCTGGGAGCACTGCGCTATGGTGCGTGACATGATGCGCAATCTGCGCGGGGCGTGCCATGCCAGGAAACAGTGTATCGCATGCTCCGCGGCACAAGCAATGCAGTGCAATCTACGTGTTACTCTCAACGCGACTCTGACAAATGAGCCCGACGGCGTTAGGGTCGCCTGCTCTCGAGGCCCTGAGGCCCGAGGGCCATGGATATACATGGCACTAGGGGCCTTATGGTCTAGGGTCTAGGGCCGTGGGGCGCTACGATAGTATGGTCGCGGGGCCGTAGATCATTAAAGCCTTCAGGTGTGCAGGCAGAATGGTTGTTGGGCCGTTTGGTCCCCGAGCCTCATGCTACTCTCAAGGTCTTAAGGCCTCTGGGACGTAGGGGCAAGAGCTAGGAGCCCCATGGCCTGACCGCCTTAAGGCTTCGAGGTCCTATGGCCTCGGGGTCTAGTGTACCCAAGGGCACTGGGATCTCCCGGCGCGAGGTCTGAGGGCACTGGGGGCTCGGAGCCCCATGGTCTTCAAGGGAAACTGTCCAAACTACCATGTGGCCTTAGGGTTTAGTTCCCAAGGTCCAGTGCGACTGATCGCACACCCGCAACGTGCCATGCTACTTACCTGCCAACCCCACTTAGGAGCCCAGAGTGCAATCACTTTTTGGTGACATGTATGCGCTCGGCTTCGTTTATTGATGAGCTGGTGCGGAACTCGCGTCGACCAATGCCTGTGCATTAAGGTTACTGTCAGTAGGCCATGTGCGGGCGAGCCACCGCGGTATGCATTCGGCCTGCTGCGAACAAGCTTAATCAGAGTCCGAGGCGCTCAGCTCTTCCTGAGCTTGCAGCACCATGTCGGTGATCTTCTTCAATGTCCGTTTGGTTTTGGCCTCCTTCCTGCGATATGTCACAATCTTTTTGGTTAAGCGCTTCAACTGGGTGTTCAGACCGTTGCAGGCCTCCTTATAGCGCTCGAGCTCAAGATCTCGCTCAGCAGCTGCATCAAGCGCTGGAACTTCATGCTCTGGCTCATCCTCTGCTGCCGCTCCCGTTGCGGCGCCCAGGTTCGGCGGGGTAGTCGGACGCATGGGGCCTTCATCATCTCCATTTTTAAGAAGAGCCCTCGGCTTGCAACAATCGTCCGTCGTCGCATCATCGGCAGAGTCACTCACCGCCTGCGTCGCTGCATCAGCAAGCGGGCCTGGGCCGAGAGAATGCTGAAATAGATCTTCTTTGGGAGGCATGGCCCCAGCTCTCGCCCCGTGCGATCGCGCCCCCTCCCCGAGGGCAGTGGAAGATGGGGGGTTGGGTTATTTGCATTTGGCCATGTGCTGACGACGAGGCACAGCGCCCACGGACCCGACGAGGGCAAGGCGACCGAGGGCCCGAAAGCGAACGATGCGACTGCCAAAAAAGGCAACCGCGGCGGAGGCCCAGGGAAACCACCGAACCGAGGCCCGAAACCTCGCAGGGACATGGGAAGCCACATCCAACTTACCATGCGCACTACCGTCATCATATCATCAACCTTACCCTCATCCGAGAATCCCCCCTCCCACTACCCACGTCTACAACCTCCTCCGCTCGTGCCCCCTGCTCCGCCACCACCCCCACCTCTCCGTCTCGAACCCCCCCCCCCCTGTGAACAAGGAGCCCAGATTGCGCGCAGCGCCAGGGGGGGTGCGAACGCACGGCAACTACTGGATGTGGGGCTGCGCGCGGGAAGTCTGATCTGCTGGGTGATCGAGCAATCGTATCGTCCTGAACCACAACGGCAATACGCATTGACGTGGCACCGTCGCACCAAAGCAAACCAAAAAAGCGGCCCCACAAAGTGACATCTGATCGACATCCCCTAAAAGGCCGGTTTCCCGAGGATAACTAAGCCCGACATCTTGTCGACGGCCCCCCCTAAAACGCAATCGGTTTCCATTGGCAACTATGCCAATCGGCCAAATGCTGGCCGTCATCGCCCTCATAACACTTTGGATGGTCGTCACCGTCGCCATTGTCGTCGTCGACGCGCAGGGTCGGGGTCGTCGTCGGCGGAGAAGAAGGGGGGAGTGGAGACGGAGCGGACGAGAGATTGGGGGAGGGCAAACAGGTAAGAGTAATCAGACGTTTCTGAACCATGGCGACGCGAGCGGCCTGAATCCTCAGTCGCGCCAGCGCCAGAACGCGAGTGCAACAGCGCACGCTGCAGCAAGAGAGGAGTGGCCACTGCGCAGCGGAAGCGCCATCCTCTGTGAATTCCTCCTCCCCCTTCCATATACCTCCACCTCCATTCCTCCTCCCCCTTCCATCCACCTCCACATCCACCTTCATCCACCTCCACCTCCTCCCCCTTCCTCACCTTCAATGTTAAACCCAGGAACAGTCTGCCCCGTACACACGCGCCCCCCACCCCACCCCGCCCCCCCGCGCCCCCCGCCCCGGTTCCGGGAGCCCCCCCGACGAGAAAGTTAAGAAAACGAAAACTAATTTCAAAGTGAAGAAAACAAAACTTATTTTCAAACATTAAATGGCGCAGCCTACAATACCCACATAACGAGTGCTTTTCGGCGAAAAGTACCGAACGCAACACTTGCGCGCTGGTGCTTTTATTGCGCCGCGCATGTTGCACCGCATCGAATGCAGCACGCATGTCGCGCCACATAGAGCGTACAGCATACCTCGCGCCAGATACATGCCACCGCGTGGATGGCATCACCTATACAGCACCGCAAAGATAGCACTGCGTGGATTGTACCACTCCGCTCGCACCACTTCGACTGCACTTTATGGTACGCACACCGCGCCACGAATATTCCGTTGTATATACTGCGCTACATCGCTTACACCACATAGATTGCGCCACATAGCTAGCACAACATAGGTTGCGCCACATGAAATGCACTGCACCGATTGCGCCACGTAGGTTGCACCACATGCGCCATAGAATGCACTGCACAGGTTGCACAGCAAACGTTGCACTTTATTTCATCCATCACATTGTGTGCACTATATACATTGCACTACATAGCTTGCACCGCATTCATTGCGCCACCCATATCGCAAGAAACCACCCTTCGGTGTCAACGCTGGCAGATAGCTTCTGCCCCAAAACAACGGTTGCGATATGGTGGCGCGGCGCGCGCTGAAGTGCGGGCGCGCGTGCCTGCGCGCCCGCGAAAGCGCAAGTACCTACTCGCCGACTCTGCGCCGTCGGAACCTCGGGCAGGCCGCCCGCGCAACAAAAAAACGCGCCGCGCGAATCAGCGCGGCGCGGGGGAGTCGCCCCGACGCGGCGGCGCCGACTTTTAGCGGCGCAATGCCCACGCATATTGGCGCTGCTGGGCGGGCACGCCTCGCGACGACCGCCACCTCATCAAGCCCATGCGGATGGAAGGGCCTTCCCGATGGCATGTAGCGGCGCGTCGCCGTCGCGGTCGGCCATCGCATCATTGCCCATGTTTATCCTTGAACGCCCCTAGGCGGATTCCTCAACGCGCCGCTCTGGAATCAGCGGGAACGCGCCTCCACGAACAGCGCCGACGGCTCGCGCTGCGGCGCATCCCCTGCATCCCGCGCCCGCAATTGTTTCCTGCTCTCCAACCAGCGCTTGGCGTAGCTCTTCACGATAGCCTCACCCCCACTCCAACGTACCCACGTCGTTCTGGACGTCGTCGGCGCTGTGGCGCTGCAAATCTCCGCCCGCGCCAGTGCGCTTCTGGATGCGGAAATAGCTGCAGACGCACCCTGCATCCCGCCGAAGGCCGCCGCGCAGCAAGCGCAACCGCGCTAGTGCGCCCTTCCCACGGGGACCTGAAAACCGCGCGGCACGCCCAAAGCAAAGCTGCGCTGCCCGCGCGGCGGCAACGGGCTGCGCGTGCGCCGCGGCGCGCGCCCTTGCGCGCCCCGCCAAATCAACGTGCACCCCTCGATGTAATCTCAAATGCTCAGTATCGCGCCCCCTATGTTGCTGGAGCGCGCCGCCCGCGGCCGCTGCCCAGGTTGAACGTTGCCGTGGACGCCGAGGGCTTGGCCACGCCCCTCAGGCCGTCCAAATCACCCTTTTGCAAAGGGGCAAGTCTCGGGCGTAGTCGCGAGAGTCTCGCAGCTCTGCTGACGTCGCTTGGCCGAGCCGAGAATGCCAGGCACCCAGCGCAACCGCCGTGACCGATG